TCCTTCTCTCTCTCTCTCTCTCTCTCTCTTCTCTCTCTTTTTTTTTTTTTTTTTTTTTTTTAAGAATACTCTCTGTCACGACTTGATTGAGTAGAGAAAGGACATTCTTTAATATTGTCGGGTAGTCGTTGTGACTCACTCAATCAAGGGTGACCTTGTCACTGTCGCCATCTGTCGGCACTATTAAGAAACTTAAAACCTCCTCTCTAACTTTTTGGCAGCTGAATTCTGTAATCAACTGAATTATCTAGCGAATACAAAATTAAGATGTTATTCGTCGAGCTTTGCAGTCAGATGGGTTTCGTTGGTTATTTTTCAACCTTGGCCCGTTAATATCCATGTTATGATGAAGAATATGCGCTATCAGCTGTAGGTTGTGCCAACATTTTTACATTCCGCCGACCTGTATACATAGGTAAGGGTGGTAATGTAGATGGTGCTTACACATTTTTAGATTGAGTTTTTTTTTTTTTTTTTTTTTTTTTTTTTTTTTTACTCTGGACCACAAGATTACATCGGATTTCCGTGATAGAAGGCTTTTCGTAAAATTTCCGGGGGTATTAATTTACATTCCTCTTTCATTACTTTCCAGAGTCCATCAATCCTGGTGGGTTTGCACCTAGAAAGAACCCTTTTTGAGACTGGAACACTAGTCCATAGATAAAACATATGGGCACTTCGCAGGAATTCATTGAAAAGATATATATGCAATATCCATAACAGTCTTCTTTTTTTTTAGAGGAATACAGCTGTATTTTTCGAAGTATGAGTAGTTGCTCTGTTTCGATTAATTTTAACTCTTTGAAAGTCAATGGGATAAGCAAAGGGAATTTATTCTGTAAATGCCCGACGTAAAACTTTCTCTTGATAGTACGTTGATTTGATTTTTAACATTTTTTCAACTCTTCTTATTTTTAATTTCCCCTTGTAAGAGAATCCTGCAACAATCATTAAGTCCATACTGAAACATTTTTTACATTGACGGAGCCAGTTTTGTACATTCTTTCTTTTCGATTATAAATAGTTTTTTTTTTTTTTTTTTTTTTTTTTTTTATTTATTTATTTATTGCAGTCATGTTTAGGTAAACTCATTTTCTTCGAGGTTCATAATGTATTTCTATTTATCGTCTGCTAAATAGTTTTCGCACAGAGTTCTACAAATTGTTCTGCGTTTAGTCGCCTGCTTCGGCAAAAACTGGTGAACGTTATTTTCTAGTCTTTTTAAGTTGTAAATCTTGGTTTATTATTTTGTTTATTGTTGCTACATATGTTTTCAAAGACTTTGATATCTGCGTTGACAAATTTTGTCTTGTTACCAACATTTAACTTTAGAAACTTTCGAAACAGTACGTACCTTTTTCGGGTATTCTTTTGGAGTCTCTTTTCATGCACAAGTAATGATTGGAGGTTTTCCGTTTCCGATTAATAATGTTTCTTATTATGCAATGAGAAATTTTAATACTCTTAATTTCACAATTGTTTTTGAGTTATGCAATAAAAATATTTTACATCGGAAAGCGCAGAAACATATCCTTCCATCTACAGCTCGTTTATATGCGATATTTTGAAAGAAGAGTAAATTTAAAAGTAGGCAATGTTTGTGGTTTCAAACAGTAATATGTTACCAGAAATTTTAATTCCAAATTATTTACCTTTTTAAAATTCCTTATCGAAATGGTTTTAGAAATTTGTTAACACGCTTGGTATTTTCGATCTGAAAATTCGTTTGTAAGTTATCGGTGAATAAGGATAAATGAGAGTCCCCACAACACGTTCTGACTCTTTTTACAAATGATGTCTATGTCTGTATGTCTGTTTGTGACAATTTTTTTGTTCTCGATAACATATCAAACTTCCAATAATTTCTATTTTCTGCACTAAATCGTTTTGCATTTATATACAGTCGACGACGCTTAATATTATCACCGTTAGGATATTGTTGTCAAATGTCCCAAGTCTCGTCCGTTTAAATAGGAAAACACAGAAGATACATACTAAAATTGCCAAATGACTGAAAAGTGTCACCAAGTAAGGGATCAAATCAAGAAACTGCTTGGATTTTATTTTAGTCAACCATTTAAAACTAAGCAAAAAAGCGACTTTATTTAGTTTAGCGAATGGTTTGTTTTATTATTATTATTATTATTATAGTCAATGTCTTTCGAGAGCGATCAGACACGGGTTTCCCTTCTTCAGACAAAAGATATATGCCGAGGGGCTTTCTGAGACAAATCGAATCACATCATGTAATAAAATGTCTGCAGAATGTAAAGACAAAATCAGCGAATTCTCTGTAAATGTCAACAAATTGCGAAGATGTAACGGCAAATATTTTGCGTCTTCCTATCGTTGTAAAGACGTCGTAAAAGTTACCACGACCACTTTGCAACCTTTCGGACCAGTTTGCAACGTCGTGTGCTACTTGGGATGTAACTAATTTTTTTAAATGTTAAGAATAGAAATCGTGTGATCAAAATATGTAACATGTAGTTTAAAAAAAAAAAGCTTCGTTACTGAGCATAGTCTAAGCCCTTGCCACGTAAAATTCAGAAGCAAAATCACAAAATAGTTTAAAATATCAGATTTCGAATTCTCGATAGAGTGTTAGGGATTACCATACTTTTTGTTTTACATACATTCTCTATGATATTTCTTTCAAATATTATAGAGACTGAAATTTATTACTTATATTACGCGGAATAATATTTCAAAAATATTATTTGAAATATTGTGAACTTGGCCGATTGAGCCGCCAGCCGCGTAAAAAGTTATAATAGAGGTTATTTTAATGAGCTTTGATATTGTCATTTCATAAAAATATTTAATATATCTAATTAGGCATCTCATTATATCAGTGCATTTTTATTTTTAATCTATCAGATTAAAAAATAGAAAAACTATTTTCAAGAATTGCATGTATTGCTTTAAGAAAGAGTATTACTAGACAGTTTAAATGCGAAAGTTAAATATGTATCTTACGCTTTATTGAATGACAACCTGCTGATGCGAGCAGATAATGAGTATTCTATTTTAGGTAGTGGCAACAAATTGCTTTCCATTAGCAGAATTTGTGTATTAAATTCTTATATTTTGGCGAATGGCTACAGTATGGTGCACGGGAGATAAAAATTTTTTATTTCGGACAGTGTTGCCACTTCTCGATTTCAAATGGCCGAGTTTGTTAAATAAAAATTCATTAAATATGTACCAGATATGAAATAAATCAAAAATGTATTTGAAATTAAAAATTCGGTCTTCGAGCCGTCCATTTTCTAGTGGAGGACTACGTGTATTAAAAGTTTGGCGGTTCCAGGTGCAGTCGTTTGTCACAATAAGAGAAACATAGATACAAATTCTTCAATTTTTTTTTAAACAATGCATTGCGATAACATTTGGTGGCATCAGTTTAAAAAGTGATTTGGACACAAAAGTGATACTGAGAAAAAGTGAGTTTCGAGACCTGAGGTACTAATAAAACAAATTCAAAATTCGGGCTTTGAAGTGCAAGTGTTCAAGTGGAGGGCCATGTGTGTTTAAAATTCAATAGCGTTGGGTTTCTACAAACACACATAGATGCAGATTCTTCATTTATTTTACTAAGAGAAAGTAGACCGCATGGTCGTTGTAATGTTCATGCAACGATTTCATGCGTTGCCATTCCGCATCCTCTCATCAGGTCTTTACCATTACATCCGCTGCTCTGCTGCATCCCTGTCATAAGTGCTTCACTAATGGAAAGCTGAATTTATCCAGATTCAACACCTTTTCAGAAAGTCGTCGTTGAGAGGGTTATTTGTTCAGGCAGAAAACATTACGTGATAAATGCCATTTGGTTTGCCAATTTATCAATCTGTTGCTGTGAAATGCAATCCATTTTTAATCATCTGTGATGAATCTGCCTTTTGTTATTTTCATTCATCTCGGTTTAAAACGTGATCATGAGCTTATTGGAACGAGACGTGGTCATACAGCTGAAATATTCGAAATATATTTAAAAGAAATTTAAAAAGTTACAATAAACCCTGCATTTGCCCTGAAACTCGCTGAAACTGACCATGACAACCACAGAGTTCTAAAATCCTCTAGAACAGCGTCTCTTAAGCTGTGGGTCGCGACCCCCAGGGGGTACCTGCAGCAGGGGGTCGCCAAAAAATTTCGCAGTTTTGATATTTCTTTAACTTATTATAATAATTTTACGGTTACCAAATATTTTTACGCAATGTATCTGAAAATGGTTAAAGATAAGACAATGCAAAGAAAGGAAAACGTTTCGACGCATTCTTTTTATAATAAAAACGTTCATTTTCCATGCTTTGCACGTGACGCTGTCATTTCGTCTGTTACTTATTTAAAATTTTCACATTGTTCTGTGTCTTAAAATTAGAAATTTAGAAACAAATGAAAAAATTGACAGTTTCACACATGCGTGTGTTGGGGGTTCCACAAAATTTTCGTGAATATTATGGGGTCCCGGGGAGAGGGGGGTTCGCGGAAAAAATCTGTGATAAAAACGGGTCGCGACTGAAAAAGGTTTTAAGAAGCCCTGCTCTAGAACAAGTGGATGGTACTGTACTTTTAATAAATCTGTACTTTACTGTATGTTAATCTTAATTATGTATTTTTGTATTTTTATTTATTTATTTATTTATTTATTTTTAAGTAGCAGAAACATGGTTCTATTGCTGTAGAAATACGTAATTTTTTTATTTTCAATTGACACTGTATAAATATACCTGATTTTTTTTCCTTAGAATTAGTCTAAAAGAAAATATTTCGTACATATTAGAAATGAAAAGCTAAGCTATATCAAAGTAGTGACGGTCATCTTGTCTAAGCAGTTTTAACTGGCGAAAATAAGTATTGCATTAACATAAAGTGACTTCCAAAAAGCGGATGAAACGGGAAGGCAGAGGACGAAACGACATTAGAGCTGGGGACAAAAAGAATCAAATATACGGGTTTTTTCATGATAATCGTTTGACACGATTTTTCTTTTGCAGGACGGCCGTGCAAAATGTAAAAGGAAGAAATGCCCAAAGGAGACGTGTCCGGTCAAAGCACCCGGAGACGACGGCTGCTGCGAAAAATGCATTGATTCCGGTAAGACTGGTAAATACTATTTTTCTTTTATTCAATGTATTCCTAACAAGCCTTAGTTATATTTCATGACATTTCTGTCAATTTCTGGAAGACCGTATTTAGTCACTTCCTCCCCCATTTTCATACCAATTTTACTGCTTGATAACCGGAAGGGGGAAAATATGCCATGTATACTAAATTTTTCTGAAGAGACAGCTTAAATGATAACATAGCACATTAAAAAGCATACATAAAGATTCACTAATATTATAATATTGTGTATTTCAAAGGATTTCACCATTTCAATAGTAATCATTTTGCTTACACATATTCTTTTCTATATTTGTGTGTACATTTTCGAGGGACGCAAAAAGATAAGGAATTTATTTGTTCGTTTCCCTCACAAGTCGATCTTAAAAGGTGTTAGACTACATAACAGAAGCAATATTTTGTTCAGTAGTGCCTCCATTTGACATCACAAAAACCATAACTTCACGAACAGTGTCACGGCCGTGCAACCGGCATAGTGGGTAGCGACGCTGACTGCAGTACCGAAGAGCCGGGGTTCGAATCCCGAAGAAGGCGTGGATGTTTGCGAATGTCTAGTGTCTATGCGGCATGGGGGCACTCTAAATACGCTTCGAGCAGGAAGTGCTCTCGAAAGAATGGAAGGGAGGAAGGGTGAGACAAAGAAAGTCTATGTAAAGAAGGAAAGGCTCCATAGACGTAATGTAAACCAGTTTGTCTTCTACGCCGCTAGAAAGAAGAGGGACAACTCGCCAAGGGATTTGGCGACGGAACCTGTTGGCGAGAATTTCCCCCTTTGTGATGTACCTGGCCGAGATTTTCCGCCCCCGCCACGTGTACAGGAAATTGAGGAACACGGGTTAAGATGAATCGTTCTTTGATTTTTCGCGATAATTTAAACTCAAAGTTTCGTGCTTTTTTGCTTTACTAGTTGACTTGTATTATCCATATCGTAGTTTGATGCCTGATTTTATATCTGTCAGTATGTAGGGAAAAAAATGGAGTAACTCAGCTTTAAACTCTTGATAAACGTGACCGTCGAACCTGTTCGAACTTCGACATCATCTTCGAGCTTTGGCGCTTTCTGCGACAGGTATTTCACGCATGCGCACTTGTGTCCCTTTTCGTTCAGAGGGAGCCACTCCTGCTGCAGCTAAGCTTTCCTTCTTAACAATACATATTCTTTGGGGTGAGAGACACTCTGACCCTCCCCCGGGGTGCTCTCCATCAAGATTGAGGGCGGAACTGAGCAAAGTCGTACTGTCACTTCTATACTGCACAAGGTCTTGCCAACGACTGGCGCAATCTTGAATTTCATGGGGCTTGATTTGAATGTTACTGTCCAAAGAGTGAGATAAGTCACAACACACGGTGTCGGGAGATTTTATCGATCTGCACAGAATCTGTCAAAGCCTCTTGGTTTCAAGAGGCTGATTGACTGTTGATTCTGTATCTCCTTTGATATCGTCTTCGACTGCAACGAATCGGAAAACGTAAAATACAATCGATAAATTTAAAAGGCCTGACTAATTCAAAACGACCAAGGAATTTCATCTGAAACATCCTCAGAATACCGGCTGTATATATAAAAGACTTAATCATCAAATTTCCTGCCTCAGTCAACAAAATCAGCACAAATGAAAACGCAGACTTGCATCAAATAAGGTAAAAGATTAAACTGCTGTACTGCATCGTTGATCGGCTACAATAGTTCTTATATGAAGTATAGTTTTAGGACTATTTTATTTATTATTAATCGCATGAAGATCGTACTTTATTTTATCAAAAATATTTGTATTAGAATAGTAGTTAGGTCCTATAATTAGGACTACGTTCAAGACTGTATTGTTTTAAGACTAAATTTTATATATTAGTGTACAAGTAAGACCGAATTATCTTGATCAATGCACATTGTAGCAAATGCCTGTTTGAGTACTCAGTGCGGATGCTCATAGGACAGGGCAGGAAATGTGTGTAGGGCACCATCACATCGCATTAGGCAAAATTGGTAAAGCCCTAGAGTAACGCCTGCCTCGAGAGAGTATTGAAATTTAAAAAAGAAAGAAATATAAGAATTATAAAAGGGCGGAATTGCAATGCAGTTATTCTCTGTAAGAGCGCGTTGAAACATGTAGTGATGTAGATCGGCCTTTTGCACATCCATACATATCTGTAGGTGCTATGTTTATTTTATGAAAGCAGGTGAGGAAGGGGCTGTGTCCGAAAATGTATCGGAAGAGCTAGTGGCAAGTGATGGTTGTATTTTCATCCGTTTTTGGGTAGGCTCGACGTCATTGGTATTCTTGCTTCCATTGATGTTATCATTCATCGTGTGCAAGGTTCTTAAACTTAAGTTTTAGCGCAGAATTACGCCATAGAATTTCAATTTGCCACCACATTGCTTTATCGCGTCTTCTTTGGCAAGGGCGTCCGTTCGTGTATTACTTTTACTGTTGCTGTGGCCTCTGCTCCAGGTAATAAGGAATGTCTTGTTGTTAGTCTAGATTTGTTTCACTAATGACGAATTGGTTCTTGAGTGCATAAATTGAGAATGGTGTTCGTCGGAAGTTTTAAGAAACATGTCATGCTGGAATGGATTGCTGTCAGCTCGGCCTGGTATGTATCATTATTTTGATGGTGGTGGCCTTGTCGTGTTGAGTTATGGCTTGAAGTTGATGTAATGATACATTGCGTCTGGTGCTTTCCTTGATTTTCGAGCCATCGGTACAGGCTGCTATTCCGTTTCAGGCGGTTGTTGTGTCATAATGCTTTGGATGTTGTTAAATGTTCTTGCCAGGTGTTTTCTCAAATTTTGTGGATTTTTCTTCATGGTCTTGTGGGATGGATTTTCCGTAATTGGAGAATTGTAGTTGCTATGGGTTCAATTTCAGCTTGATTGGAAAGGAGACAAGTCTCTGTAAAGTATTTTAATATGTGGAAGTGAAGGCTGTTGTTATATTGATTAAGAAAGGACGTTGGATTGAGTTGAATGTGTGGAGTTTTCTGGCCGTCATGCGGAGCGTCTAGACAGCAGCACCATAAGTGATGATATTGTTTATTACTGTTCAGAGAAATAGCTTCATTATACGGTGTTTAAGGCCTGACGTGTAGCCTCTCATCGTTTTAACCGATCGTCATATTTATGCTGTATTTCTTTTCTTTTCTTGGAAGTGAGGAATCCAAGTGAATTTCAATCGATGGTGTTAAAATCCCAGATGTTTTATTGTTGAAAACAACAAGAAACCGATTTTTTCCGATGCGAGAAACAGACAACATAAGCAGTTTTTCAGTAATGATGCGGCCACGTTTATAAATGATAACGGCTTTAGATATTATATAAGAGATTCCGAGTTTGATGCTGTGGCAGAGATTATTGAATATGTCTAGATTGGTGTTGCATTTTGCTTCTAGTTGTTTATTTGTTGAGCCATTGACAAAAGACAAGGTCATCAGCAAAGGTGAGTATTGCAGCATAATGCGGCCATTGATAGTTTTTTATTCTAATGAAGGTGATATTCCAGAGGTTTGCGCTCATACACGATCCTCTAACTTGCATCCTGGTGATGATGTTATTGTCATTATTTGTGTTATTTAGTAAGTCTTTGGTTAGTCACAGCGGCACCTATCCGGTGGCTGTGCTCAAGGTGGTTAGTGGATAGAGGCGTTAACTAGTGGCTGATTAGAGACGGATTGAAGACAGTGGCATAGCTAAAGGGAAAAAGAGGGTCGGTGCTACAATTTTTTTTGAGGGGGGGGTCTCATTTTTTACATGAAACGTTATTTTTTAGAGTACAATATATATGTATCGTCAGTGACACAAAGAATAATGAAATTCTGAATTGCATATCTAAATAAATAGAGAAAAAATCATTTTAACTCGAGGTAAAATATTAAAAAAATCGCCACGAGATTAAATACCCTTGTTTCATTTTTTCACTCCATTGAAACTTCTGGATGAAAATTACAAATATCAACTAAATTATGACCACTGTATTCTCGTTAAGAGAGAAGTCTTTCAAGAATTTTATTTTCTAGCTATTAGCTAGGGGATTATTTTCGTTATTGCTAGGGAAATGAAACAGGAACATGGAAGGTCGGTCTTTTATGCTAAAATCTAATTTCCTAGAACGAAGTTCTGATTTATTTTAATAGTATGACGAAATTTCCTCATAATAGTTGTAAGCGCTGCTAGTTGTGAGAAGCGTTATCGAAATAAAAATCATTTAGGGAGTATTTAAGAACTATAAATGTTTAAGAAATCTTTATATATTGTTTACATTATAGAAACTGGAGCAATCAAGTACACGTCTGTGATGTCATCAATAGTTTTAAGAACAAAAAACAAGCAAAATGGCAGTATAATTTTAAAAAATATTGAATTAAAATTGTTCTTAAAAAATAAACATAGAGTTTAACATTTTTACCCCAAGTATCATTTTGACATTTTTATAGTTATTTGTTTGTGTATCAAGAACGGCGGCAAAAGCTGTAACTACGCCACTTAGTGGTGACTCTTCTACATATTCTAAACTTCGACCCTAACAAAACGCAACTAACACCATTCACTACCTGTGGAGTGACCTCACTAGCCCCATCCCCACTATGATTCAAATGGATCAAAATTATATGCATGCAAGTAAATACGGTAATATTAAAGTGGGCAATGGTGACGACATACGTGATGAAGTACAGTAGGTGCTGTTTAATATGATCACGTTTGAGCCATGGTTATTTTGATAATATTAAACGATGTGCGCACAAAATTTTAATTGGAAAACTGTTTAGGAATTGTTCATAATGTCTATAACGCAATAGTTCATTTCTGGAAATTATTTAACTGATGCTATAACTGTAATCTTAATAACGCTAATAAACCTAGTCTTTCTCCTTTCTTTTCTAGTGATTGAGGGCACCCCCCCCCCAATCACTGGAAGAGAAAATGCAAATTTTAAATTTTAAATAAAGCCAAAGAAAATTCAGCTTTGGCTCAGGTGTTTTCAGAGAATTCTTTTTTTCCCCCGTGAGCAGGGAAGAAAAAAATCTGCAGAAATTTTTTAGCTTCTGAAGAAGAGGGACTTTGATTGCCCTCAAAATCAGTTGAGCTACTCAAAGTCAGATGCCAAGATTGGTTAAGATTTTGTTTGGCCTAATTTTATACGGTTGTCTAAACTCGAAAGCAAGCTGTTTGACGACTAAATCCCTTATTTGGCGACATTTCTCTGTCACATGGCAATTTTATAACCTGTTTTGACTTTAAGATGAGCAAGTCACATTTTTCAAGTAGCAAGACGTAGTCCGGACCTGTGTGTAATGGTAGGTAAGTTGATAACAAATTACGGCTAGCATTTCGAAAGTAAATAGTTCAGGAGAGCAAAATGGGCTCAGGATAAGAAAAATTCAAAGTCAAGTCAGACACTTCCGTTTAAAATTTCAACGGAAATATCCATTTTGACTTTTTTCCCTTTCTCGCGAGACATCTGTGAGTACGCACGGAATAAATTTCTATTTATTCCAAAACGGATTATAAAATGGATTCAAAATAGACTTCGTGACGTCTGTAGACGTATGTAAATCGAATAACTCAAAAATGATTAGCCGTAGAGCATTGAAATTTTTATAAGGGATTGCTATGACATGTAGTTGTGCACCTCCCTTTTTTTATTGCAGTCGGAAGTAACAAATATATATGTGAGGGTGAAGACAGACGCTATTTATTTTTTAGTCATATGGTCATAGATATAGAATTTGAAATTTTTAAAAAATAATAATTTTTGGACAAATAAGAAAATCTAGATACTTTTTATGAAAAAAATAAAATTATTAGAAATTTGACTCACGACAAAAATTAACTGGGTTTTTTTAATTTAAAAATTAGCAATTTTTGATGCTATTTTCAGCTTGCCTTGAGGGATCGGTTAATTTGGTGAAATAAATTTAAATGAAGTACAAGAAAAATTGAATAGGCGTAGAAGGAAGTTAAAAAATTTAATAGGTGTACAAGAATACAATGAATCTAAAATGTTAGATGTGATATTAAATGTTTAGTCATGTTGTGTTCACATCAGATTTTTTAATGCGGTCATAACTGAAGTTGTTTCATTTCTTTTATTTACAGTGAGCGACACATCGACTCGATCGACAGAAGGACCCACCAAAGGCAAAAAGCGGAGGAAAGACCGAGAAAGAAGGCACAGGAAAACCAGGCAACCGAAAGAGAGGCAGCAGTGAAGGATATCGGCGATTCTGGACGAAGAGAAATAAACTCTGATACAAGCGGCGGAATTTGCACAGAAAACAAAACGAAAATGACAATGCGAAAAATTTTTGTTCCAACCGCTGCGTGCTTCTCTTTGTATTTTTCGCTCGTGCTGGCCATTGTCTCGGGCCATTTCGTTCACAGTTAGACGAATTAGAAACAGTTAACTGTAACCGTGCGCTTCACTATTACATTTCTTCGTGGTTCATTGAGCTGTTGTATATATATATTTTCGCAAAAGAAAGAAGAGCATGGAAAAAATATCCCTTTCAAGTATTTATTTTATTGGACTAGCAGTTCGCAAGTTCCATTGTGAAATAATTCTGAAATTAGAAGTGCTTGGAGAAGACAAATCTTGCTCTTCCAAGTGTTCCTTTGTGTATGCGTTCGATATGTGGATCCTATAGCGTTTTTCTCCTCACTCTTCAAATTTTTAAAAATATTTTCGTAATTTCTGATGGAGAACAGAAATGAAACTTGTTGATAGACTTCACACTGACGCCTCAGCAGTTTGGCGATATTACAGAGGTCGTAGATGAAATCAAGTTTTGGACCTGTGTGTAATTGTTTTTTTCCTGTGACCCGTACACAGGGGCGGATAGTGTTATCGGGAAATTTCCCAAAGCGCCGATGACATCAGTGACAATTCCAGGATTCATGCAACGAAAGGCAATGAACTCATTGAATGAAAAAGAGTGTATGATATTTAAAAAAAAAAAAAAAATTACTCAGCTAAACTAATGGTAATCTGATTAAATTCATCGTCTTAAATCCGACGGCGAATTTCCTAACTGCACTTCGTTGTAGCAACCGTACAGGCTTCCCACACCGGATCAATAGATTGCGTAGCTCGGTTGCTTTGTGAGAATATTGTCGTCGATAATTTTGTTTGTGAAAGAATTAAAATGTAGTAATATGCAGGAAGATTTCAGTATTTGATTAATTGACTTTAGAAAGAATGCAAATACATGTTATTAGGTACTCAACAGATTTCAGAAAATTCTTTTTCCTGTCCTTACGAAAGAACCGTCCTGAGGGAATTTCGAAGTTGAAGTCATTGGTCCATTTTAAAAAACCATGCTTGCCATACCAATGTGCACTTAAGAAATTCGCAGTCCGACTCCGTTAGCTCGTCGCATACTCATAACTGGTGGTCTTCATAACATTAAAGTGGGGAAACTTCATGTCCCTAGACCCCGACGATTCTGCGGCGATTCGGGCCAGATCGGCAGTTACCATTTAGATCTTCGGCTGAGTGTCCGAGCATCTTGATAAAGGTTGCATTCTTCAGGGTATGAACTGAGCTTCAGAAAGGTGCCCGGCGTCTCTTGTGTCTTGGTGAAAAATGGCTAACATCTGAAAAGGTACCAACACCTTTATAAAAATTTGCCGCACCAGTCAGATCAACGTCATCCGCCCCTGCCGGTACATATTTTTTTATGATGAAATTGAGTCACCCCACCCAGTGTTTGCAGATCGGTGACTGTGCCAAAGTTCTTCAGTCAATGCGCAGATGAATGGATCACTAGGACCACGAACTCTTTCTTATCTGTCATTTTAATCTTGTGCATTGTGTGGGTGTCGTACTGTAGTAGGCATGGGAGCTGCCCAAAGATGGCGATGCTTAATGTGATCGTATTGGTCCGCGCTACGTCTATTTTGATAGCATTTAATGAGAAGAAAGAATATCTTTCAGAACGGCAATAGAATTTAACTAATTTAATATAAATATGACGAGAAACATATAAACAGGTGTTTTCACAGTATTTTAATTAGGAAAATGCAGAAGTTCATTTATGAACTGTTCATAACATTTCTGAAAATTATTTGACCGACCTGCATCCCTAATCTTAATATCAGAAAGGCTTCTCTCGTTCACATAAAAAGGACAATTTTTATAATCTATTTTGATCTTCTTTGGCGACATTATTTTAGTTTAAAAAATTTATTTTATAGTAGTTTTATCCTGTTAATCGAATAGTTCATCCCAATAGCGATGTTTTTTCCTTGTTTTCGGGCATATAGAAACGGGCGGGGCAAATCGATAACAATATCCGGATGATAACATTAACCACGATCACATTAAGTGCGGCCTACTCTAGTTTCAAGTTTGTATGCAGATTGTCTTTCAAAGATCAGTGAAAAATCTATGAAAGGGCTCCCAAGCTTGTCTTGATGCAATGAGTTGTAATTAATTTTCTGCGAACTATTTGTTTAATCGTTAGCCAGAACTGACATGGGATTGAACTCAGGAATTTTAACCACCGCTTGTTTCACAGAATAAAAAAGCATTTCCCATTCATTTAAAAAAAAATCTCTGAGATTACTCCGTGTCCACAAAAAGCCTAACTCGGCATTTAGCCCCAGAATATAACCGGTGTTTAGTGGCACTTGCGCACAAATCGAAAAAAGCGAGGACTTTTGTGTACAAGGAACATTCATTGCTGGATGGGTGACAAGTATAGCTTAGTGGCAGTTCATCACAAAACCACATCTCTTCGATTATTTTTCGATAACCTGGGACAGCGACTTGGAGTATTAATTTGCTTTACAAAATTTTAAGCTGCTGAATTGCGCAAATACAGATTTTAACGTAAAATGTTTATATTGTATATGTGCTAACTTGTAAAGAATGGTAAACACTTTAGAGTCACGTACCTTTAAAATGTCAAAATATGTTGTGTCTGTGAAACTGGTGTATGAGCGTGAGATTTTGTATACTTATTTCGATATCCTTAATAATGTATTGTCTGTTTTATTGCGAGTATTAAAAATATTTTAAATAAAATAAGCAAATCAGTACTTTTTTTTAGCTGATACTTTTTTTCCAAAAAAGAAAAAATAATGTACAATTAAATGACTTCCGTTAAAAATAATGGAAATATAGTTTCTTAAAAAGATATTTTTTATTATTCCAAAACCGATTATTATTTTAATATAATTAAATGTAATTTCTAAAACTTTTAGACAAGAGACATCCTAGTTCCTCATTTTAAACTCGCTTAGGGTTCATGCAGTTGGTCAAATCTTTTTGAAATTCTGACCAGCAGTTTCGGAGAAATAGTGCACGCAAACAAGAAAATTATTGTTATGAGAAATCTTAGTATAATTATCTTCTAATCCTGTAAATGCATATTATTTTCTTAAACTTTGTAAGTATGCACAAAAATTATGTATGTTAACAGTATTGCATACGTATCGACAGTGGTTATAGATATTTCAGTAAGGGTGAAATTTATTTGACGTAAATGTGCTAAAAAGAAACAAGAGAAAAATAATACACTACTTAAAAAATCAATAAATCATAAGGCTGATTCTTTGTGACAGTCTGGACAGAAGTATCCCTTGTTGTGTATAGCTAGTTATGAGTGTTAGAAAATTTCATTTACCTGCAGGGATGATCCGGGCAAATGTCACTTGTGCGAAACAGCCATGTGCGCAAGTGTCACATCATCGTCTTGGGCATATACTTCCGATTACAGAAATGTTTGAAATGACTCAAGTATGCATATTTTGGTATTTTAAAATTTTAAGAAAAATTGCATACTATAACTTTTATAAGGTCCCTTAACTTTTTATGATCATATTTAGGAAAATTTTATTGTCGTTATAAATAGTAAATAAAAAATCTCTTATGACAAAAATTGACTGATATATTTAGTTTCAAAATTTTACATATTTGACGTCATTTTCAAATTGCCTTCAGTGGCCATTTAAAAAATAGGTTGATTCTAGGTTCATTTTTTCTCTTTAAATGTCATTCAGTTTTTTACGATTTACCAGTGTGTAACATTTTTTAATTTATAATTTTGTTATGATTTATTGATATGTGATTTGTTATTATTGATATGTGTGCCGAAAGAATTTTCACGTCAATAATTTTCAGATCGTGAAAAGAATATATTAATATCATGAAAATTTGTGAATTTGCTTTCGTTCAGAAAATTCATCAAACTGGTTTTCATTTTTAAGTTATCCGAATAATGTTTTGAATTGGCTGTGTGCCAATACAGAAGATTCAAAGTGCTTTTTAAAACCAGATTATAAGATTCTATCAATTTATGAAAAAATGTATATCGATCAAATATATCTCAACGACAATTTGCATAGAAATGATCGTCACTTACTCTATTAACATCAGAAACCTTTCTTTAAACTGATATTTTATTTTTATTGACGTGCTGATGCAAACACTTCGCTGTTTAGTTTATGTGTGGCCCGCCAGTATGATCTTCAATTTTAAATGAAGTACATTAGACGCCGCTTAATGTATCGACGGCTCTTTTCTGGAAATTATCTCACCGCTAATCGGAGGACTTGCCTCATTCACTAAAAGAGAACATGGAAAACTAAAATTTAAAACTAGGCCAAAAAAAAAAAAAAACTTAGTTTAGCTCTGATGTTTTCAGTTGCCCACCACCACCACCAAAGATGCAGGGGCAGAAAAATACTGCAGAAATGTTTTTGCTTGTAAAGAAGAAAGACCTCGATCGTCCTCAAAAGAAGAGGAATTTGTGTCTAATCGCTCTCAAAATCGATAGAGTTATTCAAAATCTACACCAAAGTAAAGTTACTTTATTGTCTAAATTTAAAATCGAAGCCAAGCTGTTAGAAGAATTACTTCCCCTTACTTGGCTACATTTTTCTGACATTCGGCAATTTTTATAATCTATTTTAATTTTATTTGGCGACTTTCTCTCTTTTATAGCTACTTCTTTTTAGTTTTTAAAAAATATTCTATTTGGTAATACTAACCGAATTGTTGATCGTAATAAGAGTATTTTCGATGTTTTCGTATACAAACGGGCGAGACATCAGCGATTAGATAACAGTATCCGAATGATAACATTAACTGCAGTCGCATTAAGCGAGCTCGGTGGCGTTTAGCGATGCTGCATCTGCGTTAATTTTTGTTCGTACGTAAATCAAAATGTTTGTATTTTATTTTTTATAATGAGTATAAAATTTTCTAAATATAATTGCAAGGGCCGGGAGAATGTTAGATTTTTAATTTAAATATTAAAGTTTTACAAAATTATTATTAAATTTCGTGACGGAAAAAGATGAACTTTTTGCGTCATTTTAAACATTTTTGCAATTCGAAGAACATGTCTACAACGAACGCAACCAACGGTTGCAAAAAAAAAGCATTTTTGTGGACACGGTACATAAATTTATTTCAGACTTCTTTTGTTGACAGTGGTATTTTATAAAGCTTTCCAAAATTCGTCTTATTTGTCAAGTAACCTCATGTCGGTAAATTTCTAGTCAGTTACTTTAAACAATTAATCTGTTACTTTGAAATAGGAACTTTAAAGTTATTTTCAGTCTCTCGATTTGACTTATAATCATGGAAACAACAGCTGCTGAAATAAAAGGCGACTCGTTTAATCTCCCTTTCCGTCTGTTTCCAATTAGCGTGTTTTGCCTCATGAAAACAACGTGAATGAAGGTTGACTTGAAAGTGCAGTCGCAATAGTGATATCTCATTTCTAGCTTTCTGATTCGATTTATTCCCTCCCTTCTGCAGGTGTTCTGGATGAAAACATCATTAATCGTACCATTTCAGCCTTTCTGTTCTTAAACGTTCATTATAGTATTAGGTGCAAAACGAACCATTATTTCAGCAGGAAAAGAAGACGTATTCTTTGTTTGAAACAGTAACTTTATTAGGCAGATAGTCATGAAAAATTCATTCCACTATGTGTATACATGGTTTAACATTGTTTTCTGCGATGAAAATCACATTTTTAAAACTTCGTAAAATAATAAATCTATTTTATTAAAAACTGTAATAATAGTACCACTAATGATTTTCACGATTCTTTAGAAACATTGTATCTTTAACACATTTAAAGCTAGCTTCAGAAGTTTTCATTTCTGCGTTTCGATTTTTTTTAATACTTCGATTTTTCAATTATTAATTTTTTTTACTTCGATATTTCAATTTTCAATATTTAGAATTCTGTTTCAAGAAAATAATAATATATCTTACTTAAATTTTAAAATCGTCATGTTTCCTATATTAAGTATAATCGCGAATGTCATTAATATTTTATTTAAATAGCGTCTAAAGTTTAAAAGGCGAAGAGTCATTTTGACGTCATTTTGCGCTCACATTACAGCCATGTGATGTGTCACGCTTGCTGGATTTTGTGTTGAGCCTGAATGAAAAGGCTAAAATGGGTAGCGTTTTTACTCACACCATTAAGAGAAGCTGAAATGGCATGGTTTTTAAAAAAGCATCAGCTGTGAAGTCGTGAAATGAGACCCTCTCAAATAACAGATAAAATAAATGCTGTGTGGTAGGATCTCAAATGGGGGCACTGCAGTGCCTATTTTAAAGCAAGACACTATTGTAATGGTAGGAAAGAGAAATTGTATTTATTTATTTCAATAATATTTGTTATAAATATTGCAAGAGCTTTGAAAGGAATTCCTTTTTATTGATTTATTAAAGTCGTTAACGAATTTTCCATTAATGCACAACATTGTAAATTTTTTGGTAAACATATGAAAAGTAGTTAATTTCTAACCTGATCGACTTAATTTTCTACTATGTCTTTTTTAATTATTAATTACCGTATTATTGTCATAACTGAACTAAAGTCGTATGACATAATATCAGTAACTCTTACGGTAACAGTAGGCGCCGCTTAATGTGATCATGCCCATGTTTATCCACGACTTATATTGTCTTTCAAAACAGCAATAGAATTGAACTCATTTAATATGAATATGACTAGAAACGGATAAATAGATATTTTCACAGCATTTTAATTAGAAAAATCAAAAGTATGTATATGAACTCTTCATAATATATTTAATGCAAAAGTTCATTTATGAACGTTTCTGGAAATTACTTGACCGACGCTATACCCATGATCTGTAATATGGAAGGCATCCGTCATCAGAAGAGACAATGCCAATGGGAAATTTTAAATTAAGCAACCTTAATTTGGCATGCAAAAAATTTTGCTGCTAAAAAAGACTGATTTATGTGTGGTCGCCCTCAAAATCCATACAGTTATTCAAAAGCTACGTCAGATTATGTTCTTTCATTTTTCATTAAAAGATGGCGCCAGTAGTTTGACTTCATCTCTTTCTTATTGCCCGAGCACCGGCTTCTCTGTCCTCATTTACGCTTGTGCAGCTCAAAAAGAAGGTTCTATATTTAAACCTTCGAAGTAGTCTTGCAAATTTATGAATGTTACGCTGATTGTTGTTGCTTTTATTCCTCCAATAACTAAGGTTATTGACTGAAATCGAAATAACTGTTTGGCGACGTAATCCCTCACTTGGCGATATTTTTGGCCTCACTTGGCGATTAGTGAGGGATATCACTTGGCGATATCCCTCACTTGGCGATTCACCTTATTTGGCGGCTTTACTTAAATTTAAAAAAAAAAAAAAAAATTATTGTATAACAGTTCGGTCCTGTTAACCGAATCGTTGATCGCAGTAACCGATGTTATTTTCTACGTTTTCGTCTACAAACCGTCAGGACCTGGATAAATTTCTAACATTATCCGAATAAAAACAATAAGCGCAATCACATTTAAGTGTCGTCTCTTGTAAGCGTCTTATTTCCCAAGAGTGGTTGAATTCGCTTTGTGTATGCATTTCATTTTCTTCCCTGTGATCACGCTTTGTGTCAAGAATATTACATCTAGTCTGTTCTGTGTATTGTAGTTTGCAATGTTCATGCTCCTTGAGACTGTGCTTTCTTTAGCCGTGCGCGTAGAGTGAAATATTCAGCAGCTTAGTGATTAAGAAAATGTGACGGTTTAACTTGAATTACTGCGTAAGACTCTATATGTCAATGATCCGCGAAACGCTATACAATTTTTGAAATGCAGCCATTCATAATATTCAGCATGAACCTTCTTAGTCCAGATTAATAGTAAAGAAGTTCATATATTTGTTCCTGGAAGCAGTTTCTTTTCATTTTTATACTATACTCTCTTAAAACAATACAGTAGACGCCGCTGGTTTGTCCACGGCTATTTTATATAACAATTCAACGATGAAAGGAAAAGGCCCTTTTACCGCTTGGGACGGTCCTTGATTTTGCCTTCTGGAGTGGTCCATGAATTAGCCGCATCTCTTGTTACACAAACAAAAAGTTCCTGAGAAGAAAAAAATTTAATTCCACCATATTATTTTGCTCGTATTTTAAATCACAAAATCATCAATGACATCGTAGAGGTCTGCTTGATTGCTTCAGCTGCTATAAACGTAGACAGTAGAGAAAGATTCTTTAAATGCAAAGTGGAATATTTCTAGGTCATTTAACCAAATGATTTTTATTTGAAAAATCCTTCTCGCAGCTAGCAACACTTACATTTTAGAGTAAAGTGCGGAAATTCAAGGGGCCCACCCTTCCGCGTTCCTGTTTTCATTTTCCCTAGCAATAACGGAAATAAAACTGAAATACTTCTCTTTTAACGATGAATTCTTCCTTTATGAATGACGCCGAGATCGTAATTTGCTTCATATTCATAACTTTCACTCAAAAGTTTCGATGGAATGAGAGAGGTATAACAAGATTATATAGTTCTTGAAATTTCGTGGTGATTTCTTTGAACTCTTTACCAACGGTAAATTTTTTTCTTTCAATTTAATTCCGAATTTTAATTTAAAATCTCATTATTCTTTATGTGCGTCGACGATCCATATCCCCTAAGAAAAAAATGGCTCCCGAGGCGGACCGCCCTTCCTAGGTACGTTAGTGGATTTCACCATTTCAAAATAAATACAACGTGAAATCTATAAATAAGTACTTTTACAGAATTTTTATGAAAAATTCAAAAGTTTCTTTACGAATTTGAAAATTATAGTTCTCAACAGTTCTGGAAATTATTTCACAAATGCTGTATTCCTAATATTAATACTAGAAAGGCATTCTTTATTCGCTGGAAGAGAACATGCAAAATTTAAAAATAGTTAAAATCTAAATTTGACATAAATGTTTTCTAGAGTTTTTATTATTTTTAAGGTGGGGAACCAGGTTGTTTTCCCCCTCCCGAAGAATAGGGAACTCAAATCATTCTCAAAATCAAGTTATTCAAATTATAACGCAAGAGAAGGTTGCTTTTTGGCTAATTTTTAAAAGATGACTAAAAAACAAGCTCGCGATATAATTCTTACTTGGCCATATTTTCCTGAATTTGGCAATTTTAAATATAATGTATTTTCACCTTATTAATCTCATGTTTGGAAACTTTACTCCAGTTTAAAAAAAAAAGCTATTCTATAGTCTTCTGATAATATTAACCGAATGGTTGATCCCAGTAATCGATGTATTTTCAATATTTTCGTCTACTAACGGCCGGGCAATTCGATAAGAACATCTCAATGATGCATTAACGGCGATCACATTAAGCGGCGTTTAATACTGTTGTTGTAATATAAATATCATATATTTTTGTTTGAAATGGATAGAAACAATTTATTTTTCATTACCGTGGAAATATGTTATTTGAGCAATTGCAGTATCTTTACGATCCCTGTTCATCACTACATCCGCTTCTGCATTTTAAAATTCCAACACTGCTCGATTAGTGAATAACGAACGTACTTCTTAAAAGCATTATGTACATTGATTCAATCCTTTTTTGGGGGCAGGAGGGGGCACGTTTTCGTTGTTTAAAGAAATTTCGTGTAAATGTTCAGAAGTGTTGTTTTCAAAATGTACGTTGCTCTATTTCGTACTTAATTATTCGACTACATTGAATTAAAAACCTAATGCGTATTTTTAAATTTAATCTCAGACAGTGTGATGATCTTACCATCTATTATAAACTAAAGTTTGAATGGATTAGAAATTGTACTTTTATTAGTGCATTTTGTAAACTGAGATGCATTTGATCGGATACTTTTGTTTACAGTTTCTGTTACTTTCAAAATGGAAAGGAAAAAAATTAATTCAGCTTTCAGAAATTTTACGCCTTCTCGAGAGTGCGATTTTCAGTTAAAGACTAATGTTTACTAATCAGTGTTCCGATCATTTTTCTTTATTCTACTGAAATATTACAGATCCCATTTAGAATCTCCTTTGAATATATGTGCTCTGTAGATAGCTTTTGCTTGAATAAAAGCTTTTATGAAACAAGTGTGCTTTCTTTTTATAGCCTTTCTGCTTTTTGGGTGTTTAATATATTCAATCTTTTAATCTAATATACTGATTCCTATTATTTACATGCATTAAATAGAAAATTTAAGAAATTTATACCAAGAAGTTAACATGTCGCCATACAACAAACGCTAAATTCTAGTATATGCAAATGATAAGAATTGCGATAAACATGCGCACAAAGCAAATATGATTAACGTCAGCTACATTGCGGCATCTACATTGTATATAAATGGAAAGAATGCACGGCGAGTTTCATTTTTTGAAATCGCATTTGGTTGGTTCTTTCAGTAAAGCCCTGTTATGCCTCTTGTGAGAAGAACCAGATCGTACCAGCAACGTTTTTGAGTCAGATCTAGGCTACGGGACTACGGTTTATCGTTCTGCAAGATCGCTTTCGTGTTGGTCGGGAACCCATGACTGTCAAGTGACTATGGAATCGATGGGTCCAAGAGATAATACTGAATGCCATGCAGGACAAAAAGTGGTTCTCGAATAGCATAATAATGGACGTATCTGTGTGTGGAGGCACCTAGGAGAACGAAAGTGAATAGTTTGGATTCGTCATCGTCATACGGCTCAGCACTTGGGATGTCATTAGGTATACATCCCGGTCATCTCATAGCCGGTTATGTGGATAGTCGCCGTGACTATGTCATATCTTTGTGGGCTGCTTAACACCATCTTTCAACAAAATATTGTACGACCGCGTGTTTCCCATACTGTCCTGACTTCTCTTGATCTGAGGGTGTTCGACTGTTACATTAGCAAGCCTGTTCTCCAAATCTCTCATCCGTTGGGAACATCTGTCTGATCATGGGTTGCCGAAAGACCGGCACGCCATCCGTTATGAATGATAACTGTGGCGTAGAGTTGCAGCTAACTTGTTACCCAGATGGATTATTAGCGTTGTTGCTGCCAGAGGTGACAGCTTTGTGTATCCCAAACTATCTGCAAATTTCATTACGTCTTCCTGGTATTGTACCATAAAAGTGTAATAAGTAAGATTCTGTTATTTGCTTTCCTGTTTGGTGTAGCAATTGAGATGGCTATCTGAGTACTTTAAAAGGTTGGTAACTTATCTGGGTACTCTGCGTTGTGGGTTACACAAATAAAATTAATTTAATATTTTAATTTGTTCTCGAAACACTTGATCGTCGTAAGCCGGTAAATGCTGTAGTTTGGTTTATTATATTTGTTTTAAATATTTTTAAACTAATGAGTTTGCACCGTTTAGTGCACGTATTAGTGGATAGGATACCATAAATTCGCCCATATGTATAGTCCCACCGCATTAACTGTGTAATTACACCCTTATTCTGAATGAGATCACGCTGGGAGAAATGTGAAGATTCTCATCTCTCTTCCCCTACCAGAACCACTCGAGAATATTTTTCGACTTGCCATCTACTTTGGAATGCATCTTTGGCCCGCACACATTATATGCTGACAAACATCCCTAGCTTCTCCGGGATTCGAACCCGCGCTCATCGCTACGACAACAAACGTTACTAAATACTATAACCGGCTGGGTGGCAGTTTTAGAAAGACAGGTAAAACTTTTCTCAAAAATTACTTCTGAAACCAGTATTTCTTAGATTATAAATAATAAAAAAAAAGACTATTTTCTGATTATTCGCACTCATCCCTACGAATCGTTGCTAACTTATTGGTTACTTTGTGATTTGGCGAAAATAACGAAACTCTTTTATGGCTGACATTAACAATTTTGCAGCCGGTGGATTCTGATCAACGAAAAGCTGCAAATCCTCGTGTACTGAGATTGAAAATATGTCTCATTTTCTTCTGTAAGTATGAATAAATCTCATGATATGAAATCATGTTTACAAAAGATTCTGGCATGAGTTAGAGCTACCTGATATTAAACTTCTGAAACTTGCCTGTTACGCAAACACCTAATTGTTACACGAAAATATGGGATTGGTGTAAAATACATTAGTGGATAAATTAACACTATGGCATTGTATCCTACTAAATAAAATGATGCAAAATTGCAGAACATACAATACACATTATTAGAATAAATACTAAATGAAGAACAACATTTTCCATATTGTAATATTATGGATATGTGGTACTTATGTCTTGGCGCAGTTTGTCAGTTTTTAAAGAAGAAAAGTAGAATGAATTTTAATTACAAAAATGTTACTCGTTACATGCATGCAGTTCCACAGATATTTTGAATTTTAACTAGGTATTTATCCTAAAAATCAATCAATAAACCTACTTATATGTGGGTGTTTATTTCTTTTATTCTGGTGGAAATTTAATTTTGATTACTTAAAGAATAGATTGAAGAAATATCAGGATCGTTCAACATAAAGACACATGAAAATGGTTAGTTAAAATAGCTTGTTAAACTGAAGAACTGTTATGAGCATGGCTGTAGAGTTTGGCACATTCTGAAAATTGATTTCTACAAAAACGTTTGTGTTAATATGTAACTTATTATACACTATATAAAGCTATAGCAGAAATCTTATATTTTTGTAGAATTAAGCAGTATGCTAGCAGTTTCGAAGTACTAATAACATCACTAATTTGTGCTTTAGATCACCTGATGGGTAAATAAGCACTTTATGGGTACGATAGCGGTGTTAACACGATGCTAAAAAGAACACAAGAATGTTGAGTGGAATCAAATTTGAATATAATTCCTCATGACAGAAAATTCTCGCATCGCAGGAGAAACACGGGTGTGGAAGCAGAGTCAAATATATTCTAGCCATAATCTCCTTCCACCATATTTTATGGCAATCAAGTCGAAATGTCAACTTGAGAAATGCATGAGTCTGAAAGCTTTCGTATAATCTGAAAACTCATAAAGTTCTGCAATGACCATTTCTTCTGGCCTAGTAAGTTACGTCATCTGAAGCAGACATGCCAGTGTAGGATTATTGTAGACAGATGAATGTTGCATTTTACTACGTTACGCATGACTTGGTGTCACTTTGTAAACCATTTTCAAACTTGGGCAGCACTATTTTTTTTCTTGGAGGAGTTGTGGTTGCTGCTGTTTACTGAGGATAACAAACTGCAAATACTGAATCGTTGGATACAGGGGTACAAATATGCTACATTTATATAAAAAAAAAATAGTTTCATGCTTCCACAGAATTTTCATAAAAAGCTGGTATTATGTGATGTAGTCAGGTCATAATGGTAAAATAAAGTAACTTAATGAAGTAGGAAAATAAAAATAATTATTTGTTTCTTCATGTGTTCGTAAAAGCATAAACTCCCAAAATTTTGCGACCTGCACTTTTATCTGAATATGCTATATTTATAAAACAAGCAGTTTTATTTGCCAAAAAAGGATAAGAAAAATCTAAAAAAATAAAGCTAATTAAAAACAATAATAAAAAAATCTTAAATTTCAATTTAGAAAGCAAGGCAGTTTTGAAGGGAAGGGTAACAACAACAAACTCTTATAACCGCTCCTGCTACTGAAAGCAACTGCGATGTTTTGTAACGATTCTAATTGTTACAAAACGATTGTTAAAGTGTAACGATTGCTGCCAGTAAGTGGGCTTGAATCCACGCTTCTAACCACTCCGTTATCTCACTCCGGATTAGGCATGAGGAAACAGGTGCTAACTACCCAAGTGGGCAAAAGCCAATAGGCTAAAACAAGGCAAAGCACGTCAACTGAGCAAAAGAGCTTAAAAAAAGAAAAGAGGAGAGGGTGCCTTTCGACTAAAAAGGAAAGAAACATAAAGCTAAAAACTAGTCTAAGAAGGGGAGAGTCATTACGGCTAAAACAGGAAGTGAAGGGACAGCTAGCGTAATTTAGATAATTTAGCTAGCGTAATTTATTGTAAAATACAATATAAAAGAGATGGAGTCAATATCTCACATTCTTATCAGAAAGGGGCACCTCAAGGTTCCAACTTAGGGCACACGTTATGAAATATTTTGGCTGATACAACTTTAAATTTAGAACATCTCTTGTTGTAAAATAATAATCATAAATAAATAATAATAATAAATAACAATGACAAAACAATAGAAAAATTCAAATAAACTTATAAACAGATATACAATTTGCTGCAGGTGTAAGTAAACACTACAGTGACTAAATAATTGAGCATTACATTGAAGTGAATGGAAGGAAAAATAACAATCAGAATGACATAAACATTGTAGGATTAACGATAAACAATAAAGTCTGAGTCATTTACATGTATAAGTTGCATAATTGACTTCATGGCATTAAGAGTAGAATTGCATTTTGCCAATATTTCCAGTGAAGGCAATGGTGATGGAAAAAGATATGTTCTTTCTTTTACTGTTAATGGACAAGACGTGATGTAATGGAGAGCTCCTGCAAGCTCTCCACTTGTCCCACAGCCACATCTTGTGTTCTTTTTATGAAATTTGCATATATTTCGGAAATTTACCATGATTTGTCAAGACTTGATTTAAAATGCGATCTGATTGTATACGAGAGAGAGAAATTTGTGGGAAAAAGGCATAAGTCTAACGTCCTGTAGAGTCCTCATCCCATCTTTGCTGCCATGTTTTAAGCGATTCTTGCAGGATTCGATGTTTGGCCGAAATCTCTGAAAGTGGCACTTCAACATCTATCTGATCTTGTTTTGTTCCTCTTTTTGCTTCGGAATCTGCTCTTTCGTTCCCTGCGATTCCAATGTGAGCTAATCCAATTAAGCTCTAGAGAATGGGAATCCAAAAGAGTTTTTATGATTTCCTTTAGGCTAAGAATGCTTCTTTTCGTAATTTTATCACTATTTAAACTTTGAAGGGAACTACGATTATCTGTAAAAATATGAATAGGAATGTTGTCAGTTATTGTGAAACCTATCCAGATGAGTGCTTTTTTTAAAGCAAGAATCTCTGCTTGGAACACGGAAGCCGTATCATTTAATCTATAAATTTCTGAATGAACTTCGTGCCCATTGTTGTACATAACGAAAGCCGCACCTACATGTTTTACCAAT